AGGGAAGCAGTCTGTCATCCTACTCCTTACTCCCTGTCATGCCTGCAAGTGTACAGCAAGGAATTATTCTCTGGTGTTTGGGGAAGAGTGCTATGCAGTCAACATTCCTGCTCTGGGCTATGAGGGCTTTCCTCCTTTCCCAGGAAACCAAAATACTTATTAAAATCTTGACATTTCTCTCTGAAAATTGAGACATTTTGAAATCTTCTCAAAAACTTCTTGTGAAGTTTTTCTTCCAGGGAAATGGAATTCCCGTTCCCACAAAGATCTTTCCCAGAACAAGAATGGCTGCTGTTTGGGAGCTTGTGCTTTGGTGGGGTTTTTTTTGTTTGGGTTGGTGGTTTTTTAAAAATCTCTGCCTACAACATAGAGTGAATGCCGCTTTATTTATTTCCACCACAGAAAATTCTGGTGGGGAGGGATGCTGTGTAAGAAACAGTGTAAGAAGCAGAATGCTGCTCTTGTAAGATGTTCAAAAGTAGGCTCATTCATCACAACTAAAAATGCAATTTGCTGCTTTTTAAAATTGTCATTCTCCCAGTTACCCACCACATATAGCATTTGATTTAGAGGTAAGTAAGTTTGGATGGTTAGGTGGAAATTGGACCGTCCTACAGGAGAGGAGGCACGAAGTCTATTGGGACCTCAATGAAAATCTCTGTGGCCATTTCAATAAGTTGCTTTCTTACCAAACCCACTTATTATTAAACTAGTTACCCAGCTCAATATCACTCCATTTCTGAATTGGCAAATATTTCTTTAAAACAGAACAGATGTATAGTACCTGCCACTTAAATGGATCCACAAACACAAGGATACAGGGAAGTGTTTGCTGAGCAACAAAGCTTTTGTGTCAGAAAGGAGTTGAAGAAAACCAGCATACAGATAGTACTCCTGCTTTCTTAGAGAAACTGTGGAGTTTGTGTGTGTGCTGGAGGTCTCTGATATGATATAAATGGCCTTGGATGATCAAAATCTGATCCTTATGCATTATGTTGACTCCATTTCCGTTTTTGGGAGTATATGAACTGCATGAACTATTTAAGAATAGGAACCAGTTCACTCAAATGGTTCTCTCCTAGTTACACTTCAGCAGTCATGCAGTTTCTCCATTTTCACACATAACCTCAAATGGGTCAATAAACTTAACATTTTTATGAGTGTATTTTATTTTTTTGGTTGGGAGAGGTCTTAAATCTCAAGATATCTGAAAAATTAATAGACTAAGGACACAGTGGGTTTTGTAAGGACAATTTTATTTAAATAGAACTCTGAAACTCACTTGACAGCTTAAAAATCAAAGTAGAATTTTATTCAAAACAATGGGATTGGATATTCTTAAGATATTGTAATAATCGGCTTGTGCTTTATCACTGTTCTGTGAGCCACTCACTGAAATGGTGAAAAACCTTTTTCAAATTCATTGCAGATGATCTTTTGTTTCAAGTTCTTCCTCAAGGAAAACCAAGTTCTTAATCAAATTGAAAGATTTTAAGGTAAACTACAAAGGACAAAGAAAACTGCTCCACAAAGGCCAGAAAGTGAGCCCACAGGAATTATCTGAATGGTTGTAATATATCTCCCATGAAAACTGGAGGTGTGGGTTATTCTTCATTTTTATGTGATGCATGTTAGCTCACCTTTGTTTACCAATCCATCATGGACACTATAGAGGACAATTAGACATAATACTATATGTTTAGAATATTCTGGAGGTATGATTTGCTTTCATAAATGAACCTCCAAAACTTACATGTAAATTCATCTGTGGCCTGTATTTCAAATAAACAGATCCTTTGCTCTAATACTCTACCAGTGTTTATAAATTGACTGATACTTGTAATTAGCTCATTTGGTAGCATGCTGTCCCTTTGTTTCAGCTGCCTCTCTGAGCATTGGGGATCCATTTTTAAACCAGGACACTTCCTGCTCACTTTCCCAATACCCTTGGAATGTTCCAGGAGTGTCATTCGGAGTGCAAAGACAGTCAGCTCTTGACACTGTGGCTTGGCTGGGTGCTGGCTGACCCTGGTCACTGAAGTGTTTCAATGTGCTAAGGCATCAGGAATCTGGCCCAGCAGAGAGAAACCTTGTGGTTTTTTTGGTGGGCAACCATGCAGAAATGTCTGTCAGTGGTGAGTGTCAAAAGTGGTGCAAGGATAAAGGGGGGTGAGCTCTACCAGCAGGAGGAGGGAGCTGGTGTGTCACCCAAAGGGGAAGCATGGAACTACGACCTGTACAGGTAGCTGCTGTGTGGTTTTCCCCACCCAGATGAGATATGTCCTGCTGGTGATATGAACTTCATGCCTGTCTGTTGAGAAACCTGTTTATCAGCATGGGGTATCAGCTTTAAAAGATTTGATGCCTAAATGAAGATGTAAGATGTCTGTGCAATATCATAACAGAGAAAGTCTTATCTTGCACAACAGGTAAATGTTACTGCCACAGAGGACTGCATTTTAGGAAATCTGAAGAGAGGATAGAGTGACAAGCTTATTACAACTGACATGTGTATGTACTTTTACACTTTTTATTACACAGATTTTGCTGAAGCAAGCCAACATCAGCTTTGTTTGCTGGTATGACATGCCCTTTCCTTCTCTTCAAGTCTTGTGTATGGAGAAATGTAGCACTGAACATGGAACCTTTACTTCCAGGCAATGCTAAATAAAGTCAGCCAAGAAAGTTAAGGTAAATCAAGTGAATTTGGGATATGAATCCAACTTCCATAAGTTAAAATGCACTAAAAGGCTTCTGTGTGGTTTAGTTCCTTCAGGTGTAATGCAGCGGTAGGCTTGGTCAAGGATCAAGCTCACTTCTTGTGACTATTTGCTCTTAAAATTAGTGAACTTTAGAAAAACCCCAGGAATGAGATAAAAATAGTTGAAATGTGTGTTGTTTCTAACTGAACACTGGAAGGAAGAGAAGAATGTCTTACCAAATTACTTACCTAGGTATGGTTTGAAAGAATACAATGTTGCTTAAATAGTTTCCTTCTCCAGTTCATGAAACTCCTAACAACAATGGCACTTGCCTAAAAAATATCTTGGAAGGTATATTCAGTGTGAAAGCTGTGGATAAATCAGGGCAGATATTCCTGAAGTGATTCAAAAGTAAACATATATATTTACATATTTTATTAATGTTTTACTAATATTTACTAATACGTTATCCTTGAGAAGAGATGGCTTAGGTGGGATCTTATCCATATATATAAATACAGGCTGATGCAAAGAAGACACAACTTTCCCCTTCTCACTGCTATCCAGGGAAGGGTAGGAGGCAGTGGGCACAAATTGAAACAAGGAGAATTCCATTAAACAGAAAAAGAAAATTTTGTCCTGTGAAGGTAATCAAACTCTGAATCAGAGAGAAGTGAAATCTTTGTTTTTGGAGATAGTTCAAAATGCAACTGGATATGGCCCTGAGCAACTTGATACCTTTTGGACCCAGCTATGAGAGCAGTTGGGCCTGAAGATCTCCAGAGGTCCCTTCCCTCCTTAGCCTTCTGTGTTTCTGTGTAAACAAGATGCTTTTAGCAGTCTTCTAGTGAAGACATATGAGCAAAATTTCAGTCTCTAGAATTTCCTCTGACATCATCTTATTTACGGAATTCAGTGTTTTAAGATGAGGTTTTAATTATTGAATTATTCTTGCTGTAATGCAGGGGGAAAACATGTTTCAAATGTAAGTGGTCCTTTTGCGTATTAAACTGAGAAATTAAAATGCTATGCCAGCTTTTTTTTTTTTTTTTTTTTTTTTAAAATTTTTTTTTATTTTTTAAAGACTTAGTATTAAACTGAGAAATTAAAATGTTATGCCAGCTTTTTTTTTTGTTTTTTTTTTAGAATTCATGTTCAGTTATCAATGATCTGGACACTGGTTTTATCTCTGCTCTACAAGAAATGTTCCCTCAGATCCTCACTGATTTTTCATTTTGGATGTTTTATGACATATGCCTTTTGACAATACACACCTCATATTATTTTTCTCCTCGCTTGCTAGTTTTGGGATAGTATAATATGATAGAAATGGAGTGGAACCATGAATGACTTTGGAAATTTCAGTAGTCTTAGCATTTTGCCTGAACTGGCTTGTTTGACATCTCTGTTCCAATGTTCTGATTTTGCTCCCTTGCTAAGCAATCCGGCTGTTCAAACACCAGTTAAAGAGAAGCTGTATCCACTTAATGGAAGCGTGCAAAGGTCCATAACACTGGAAAGAAGTGGAACTTCCTCTAATTTAGTCTACTGTCTATATTTATCACTGTTCATTTGCCATGTGCCTTCCCTCCCACCCCAGCTGCCACCTCACAGATGGCATTCCTAGCAAAAGAAACATTTCAGATTCAGTACACTGTCATCTGGAAATGTCAGCAGATGACAGGGAGAGGGAAGGAAGAGGAGGGCTAGCTCCACATTTTTTCAGGACAAAACTTGACCTCAAATTCTACTCAGCCACCACAGAGTTCTGGGGATTACCAGGGTGGGGAGGAAGGAGGGCACAAAGGGAGCAAGAAAGAGTTTGCATGTAATGATCTTTGTTATGTTCTGAGGCTTGCTGGATAGAAATTTCCATACTGTGCAATTATTTGCTTCTAACTCTATTACAGCTTTAATTTATTAAAGGATTTAAAAAAAAAAAAAAAAAAGTTTTGTTTGCCCTAGAGACCAAGTGAAAACAATGAGGAAGAAGAAGGCATCCCTGCAAAGCTGACACTATTAAGCCCAGGCACAAAGTGGAATGTTTGCAGTGCCTATGAACAGTTGTTTAATGACAAGCAAATAAAATAATAATTCTTAAGCAATGACTCATTTCTGATTTAGTTTTTTAGTGCCTTTTACTCAGCCCTTTCATGTTAGTCATTTCTATATGCTTCTGGTGTTGTATGCTGGCCCAAGTGGTACTGACAAAAATATGGTGGGCTTGGAACTTGATACAAGGAAAGAGATAGGGCAAGTTTTTAGATTTAAGGATAATGTTTCAGAAATAAATTCAGAAATTTCAGATGTCACTAACTGGGCTAAGTTTTCATTCTAAAGGCTGTAGTCTGGAACGCTTGTGTGCCTCAGAGTAAAAAGTTTCAGATACTAATATTTTGTTGAACTAGGCTAAGGGAAAAGGTTGCTGGGTTTGGCATCTTCAAAACATTCTTGCAACTGTTTCTCTGGGGAGCTGTGGTACCTTCCTGTGTTGCAACAAAGGCTCAATATTCAGTACATTTTAGCAGCAGGAGGGGTTTTGGCTGCCCTGTGAATATTCATACAAAATAGCTCTAAGAGTACAGGCTTCTGAGAAATACCCGCTCACAAACACACAGAAGATGCTGCCCAGCTGCAGTGGGGCTGCTGAGGCACCCGGCCTGAGAGCAGAGGCAGATGTCCTTTTCAGTGACTCAAACTAGAGCACTCTAAGCAGGTATTGGCCCATCTGCTCCCATATCTCAGATGTCGTGGCTGATTATCTGAACACTCAAGCTCTGTTATAGTGAAAATTCAGGGAAGCGGTGCCATTCACTGACAATGACATCTTAACAGCCCCCAGCTGCTCATTCCCAGCCTATGCCCTCCTTTAGCTCTTGTAAAATTGTTTATGGGGCCAAGAACCTGGCTCCTGCCCTGCCATACTCCCAAAAAAGGTCTGATTATTTTTAGCCTGAGCTGACTCTCACTCCTGGTTCAGTGCAGGGATGACTGTGGTTAGATTTGCTAGAGGACAGCTGTTTGTGCCCTGCCATCAGGGAGATGGTCTTTTCCCAGCCCTGAATTTTCCTCTTGCTTTTTAAATGCAGATGTCATAAGGAGACCCAAGTGTGTTTGTGCATGTTCTGCAGTCAGGAGAACAAGGGGAGCAGCTGGGGGCTGGCATCCCGCCCTGCCGAGGGCAGGCAGCTGCGGCTGGTAATCCCCTGGACTGCCCCTGCAGGGCTTGACAAAGCTGCTCTGGCAGAGCACATCAGGCTCTTTGCTTGCTTTCCTACCACTCTAAAAAGTAACCAAGCCTTAATAAGGCTTAAGTGTAAAGTCGAAGTCTCTGCTGGTGCCATGAGCACTTCATTATGCCCAAGATTTCTATTTTGCACCACCATCACAATTCTTCATTGAGCAGGAGGAAAATTTTCTCAGATTGGTTTGGCAAAATACCTGGAATTGGAACCAGAAAACACAGGACTATGGGATTAGGTAATCAACCAGCTTTCTAATCATAATCCAGGCTCTCCCCTTGTCACTTGGACAAGTCACTTAGAAACATAGGTCTGTGTTTGTAATCAAAGAATAGTTAAATTTGAAATAAATGGATTTTTTGAAAGCAGTATCAAGGTACTTCACGGTCTTTGTGCACTGTGATGATTTTCTATGTGGAAGCAAGTTTGTAGTGCTGGTGCTGCTTTGCACATGTGGTCCATGGATTCAGGAGGTCTGTGAGCTTTTTACAAAAGATCTGTGCAAATTTACCTGTGAAGAGTCAGGGAGCTTTGATTTCCTACCTAAAATTGTGCCTTTTCGCTAGGAACAAAAAGAAAACAAGGAGTTTGCTGACAGCTGTGACTGAAAGACACTGATTTGGTGAAGTATTCATTTGTGGTATAAATGACTGTGTGCTAATTTCCCAGGCAGTCTAGCATGTGTGTCCATAATGGGTTTACTCATCTCCTGAGTTCTCAAGGTGGCTTCTCTGTGGCCTGAATTCTTGGTATGCAAATAAAATTCTCAGTGAATTTAGATAGTGCAAGATACAAACCTTGTGAGCAGGAGAGCAATCTGTGGATTAGGTGAATATATGGGGTTTGAATAGGCATAAAAAAGGTTCAAAACCAAACAAATAAACGTCCCAGGAAACCAAGCTCCAATTCTTTCTCCTGACTAATTAAATTTTATGACCTCCCTTTTTAAACAGCATATGGGACACAGATTTCCTAGTCAGCTGGGGATCAGTTAGATACGTGTCTGCGTGTTAGTCAAGTTCCAGCTGATTAAGCCTTTGCGTATACCAGAAGTTTCCTGTGATATTTGTACAGACTATCATGGACAGCAGAGCTACCTTGGAGCTTTTTTGACAAAATGAGTTTCATCCAAAAATGCCTCTATTTGTCTTAGCCAAAACTTTGCCAGAAATAGGTCAAATGAGATTTCAAGGCCATGAAAAATTAGTTTTTATAAAACAAGATTTTGACACATCAATTTAAAGATTTTGGTTTCCTGTGAAATAGCTTTTAGTTATAAGACATAAGTACAGATGAAATGCTTTGAAGATCACCTAAATGGAATATTTCTATTGACATTTTTGACATTATTATTACTCTTAGTTAACAAAATTTGTCAAGTTTTTGATTATTTTGTCACAATTTAAGAAAGACAGCTTTCCACAAAATTGGAAAGAGTCCAAATCCAGTACTAGTTCAGTCCATTGTATCGTAGAGATCAGAAACCAAAACTCAGTGGAAGAGAATGAAGTAGAACACGTATTCTCAGAAAAAAAAGAAATGAGGTGTTCTTGTTCTACTTGCCCTTTGCATCTGCTCCTTAGCTTTTAATCATTCATTAGCATCTTTAGTTCTGGTACAATTCTTATCAGGTATCTATTCCTACAAGTGAAGCATAGTAGTAATGAATAATGGGGATACATTATTTTAGCAACTGTTCCTGATTCTGTTTAATGACTGAATACAAAATGGCTTCTCTTCCTTCTAACATGGCGATTTAATTTAGATGTACTACAGATAACTGCTTACAGAAGTCATTCCTTAAAGCAACAGGAAACGTTTGCATGTTTACATATCTAATAAAATAATGAAATACCTTTTGTATTTTTCTCAAGGTTATAAAGAAAACAAACTAGTTGTTAACTATGAATCATAGGGAATTGCATTACAACAGAAAAATTCTCTCTCTGTGTATGTCCTGAAAAAAAATTACTGGTTAACTTCAAGTTATGGTGTTTATTAAATGACTGAAGTTCTGCTTCAGTGGTTGAAAATGCAAAAAAAAAATATTGCATTTTTGTTCAAAGCAAAGTGTTTTCTATGAATCGTGTATTATTTATATTATTTGATGTAGTTATTTGACCTAGAGATTGGAGTGAAAGAAAGTTTAGGTGGGACAGCTAGGTGTGAGCTATGTAAGTCTCAGAGATTTCACTGTAAAGTATTGTAGAAGAAGCATTTACCATCAGGGATATTTTCTTGGGAAAAAGGGAACAGAATATTTCAGCCAAGTCTTCTAATAAAACAATCCATGAAAATAAAAGCTGAAGGTCCCACAGTGTCCCAGTCTCACTTCATCACTGTATTATGTAAATCCTAGAAAATCCCCTGAGAGCAAAGGGCTGCAGGAAAAGGGGGGCTGCAGACTCTGTGCTCTCCTTGCTTCTCTTTTCTCTTTCCCTTTTGGTAGAGGTCAGTGCACAGGAAGCCCAGTAAATGGTCAATTGACACTCTTGTGTGCAATGAGCTCCCTGAAAACTGTGCTTTGTAAAGCTGGGTTTCCAGTTTTGCTGTGTCAGCCAACGTGGAGTGTTCTGAGCGGGTTCTCAGCTGCTGTGACTTGTTACAGATCTACAGAAGTGGGTGAATCCTGGGTAGTTCATACTATGTGAGGATTTCTTTTACAGAACAAATATGAAAGAACATTTTATATTTAATAATTTTCCAGCTCAGGCTGAAAAAGATCCAACTAGCCTAGTATTCTGGCTCCAAAAGTGATGAAAAGTGGTCAAAAACAGAGGGTGATTACTGAAGATCATTATAAAATGACAATCATGTAGTGATTGCTTATACCTACCTGCCTTTTATTATGAACTTCTAGCAATCTGACTTTCAAAGTCAGAGGTAGAATCTTTCTATTTAACAAGTGACAATGGATGAGTTTGTCCAGGAGGTCTAACTCACATCAAGTTCTGTAAACCACAGCCTTTTGCAGCAAGGAGGCTCCAAATTACCACCAGTCGGTAGGAAGAAATACTTTTGGTTTCCTTTGTTTTAAAGTAGATAATGATTTGATGTATCCTTTTTCACTGCTTCCTATGCCACAAAAATCTTCCATTCCCTATTAGACCTTTTGTTGTTACTCTTGATTTTAGAGATTTCACTTTATGTTCTCTTTGCCATCTAAACTAATCCTAGTTTTTGTTATCCTTTGAAATTGTTACAACTTAGATTTCTATTTCTTCTATTTTCTCTTTCTTAGGGAGAAACAAACTGATATATAATTTTCAATCATGTCCCCAATGTATGCTGTATAAAGGGGTCACAACAAGGGAACCTCCTTGAGTTTAGAGCAAACAGGGAGGCAAAGAATTCCTGCAGCTCACTGGCAGGACCTTCTCCTCTGTGCTCCTTTGTATCTTAGCAATCTACTGCAGCATTCTTTGACAGGTGTCTTGCTTACTACAGGAAGGTATTAACTAAAAGTTTGTGATGCCTGTCAATTTCTTTTTGGGCATACAATCACTTTATGGTTTATTTCTCATTTTCACCTTAAACTTTGTGAGGGATGGAATCTTTGGAAATAAACTACCTCTGTAACCACAGCAGCTTTTTCGGTGTTTACTCTAAGTCCTTGAGCTGCTGGGAGGTATCTTCCTCTTGGGCTTGTCATTCTTGATACATCTTTTACAAGCTTCCACCTTCCTTTTCTTAACCTCAAGTGCTACCATAGTAGATTTTTTTGGGGTTTTATTGTTCATGCATGCATAATAAGTCTAAATTCATTACAGTTATTGTTAACATGGTTCTTTGATACAGAAGGATTCAAATGACAGGTCAGATGGCTTTCACGGTCTGCTGCATGTACTGTGTCTGTGGATTCTTTTTTCTCCCAATAACTTTAACTTTAATTTAAAATTATGTGACCATCTACCTTTTGCAAGTTGTTGTGAGTGAAGTTTAAAAACAGAAGATTTTTCTTTTTCTCTCAGCACACTACCTTTATTTACTGCCTTAATTGTATTATTTACAATACTTGTACTTGTAAGGCAAGAGGAAGGTGCTGAAGTTCTTCTGCACAAGGAGCAGCTGGCGAGTGTCAGTAACTCAACCTGTGGGGCTGAGCCTGGCGTGTTTTCTGGCAGTGTCCTGGTGGCTGCCCTGGCCTTGTGCTGCACGGGACGACGCTGCCCGGGATGCTCAGCCGCCCATGGCAGGGTTTGGAGCAGGAGAGTAGGAACACTGCCCTTCCAGAGAGGCCAGGGTTTACAGTTTCCCTCCAGTCAAGGTCTCTGGGCCAAGTTCCACCCAGAACACCTTTGTGGAGCTGCAGTACGCATTAATAATGACATAGAGACATATGGGGAGCGGGCAGGATGGTGCATGAGGCATGCTAACTGCAAAAAGCCAAATTTGGGGAAGTAATCTGAGAGAGTGCTACCAAAAAGTATTTGTCATTTTAAAATATGTTTCCCTAGTGCCTTTGCATTTGATTGATGGATTGACCTTACCTGAAATGTACCTTGAGAGGCTCTGGCAGTTCAGAAAGAAAGAAAACTTCAAATAAATACTTGTAGCTGTATCTGCAGTGATGAAAGCTAACCTGAAGGAGAGAAAAAACTACTGAATGATTTTATGCTTCTGGAGGAAATTAAAAAATACTTTTTCTTTTCTTTCTTTCCCCCCAAAAATCACATACTGGAGATGCCAGGGGAAATGTACTTAAATGAAAACTTGCATCCCAGGTATAATTGCACTATCATTAGTGTGGTTGTTGGGCTGGCCCTGCTAACAAAATGCACCATCTATTTTGCTATTAACTTTTACATCAAGGTGTTACAAAAGCAATAGGTGGCCAGGACATAGGAACTATCCTCATTTTCTTTGGAATGTGCCCTACACTGTCAAGTACAAGGAGAAGGCTATAAAGGAGCCAGTAAGGTTCAGGGAGGGCTCAGTCCTGTTTCAGATTGTGCAAGGTTTCATGGCCACAAGCACCATTAATCTGAGACCATTTAAGATAGTATAATTACAGTAATGCAAAAAGGAATTAAATTCTTGTTTTAAGAGACTATCTTGTCTTCCCTCATGCTTCATTTTAGCGAAAGAGGCTTTATGTCTAGACAGGCAAAGACTTGAGACCTACTTTTATACCAATCATTTTGCTTGTGCTCATTGAGAACTTTAAGAAATCTTGGAAACCTTCAAGGAATCCAAGCAAATTTTTGCAGGATCATAAATTTTTTTCTCCCCTTATAAGTCTTTAGTGCTGAGCTGTTCTGAAACATGTGCAGAAATAATCCTCTGCCAAGGTGAGGGATCCAATATGCCTGTAACCACCCTGGCTTCAGGTTACCTGTAAACTGAGAAAGACATTCTTGAACGTTCTTAAACATGATGAGAACACCCTTTATGTTCCAGCAGAAACTAAAACTTGCAGTCAAAAATGGATCTGGAGAGAGAGCATTCCCAATGCACATGTTGATTCAGATATTCTCAGCGTGGGAAGTGTATCTGTCTTGGCCTAGATCTTTAGGTGACCACTTTGTATCTCTTTGTTTCTGTCTGGCCATCCCTCCTCATTTCCTAGGGACAGGATCTTAGTCACCAAGCTGATCCTTGTCCAGTCTGCTTCAAGAGATGAGGACCAAAGGAATGTGAGTGGGAGCCCAGACTTTTGAGGTGTTTTGCACCTTTAGCTCCTGGTGACATCGGACTAAAATGCACCTTTAAATCTCTTTCAGTGTCTTCTTTAGGCCTTTGAGAGCAGTTCTCCAGCACTTCTCCAGCAGCAGCACAGTCCAGAGCACCTGCAAGAGCCCATAGGCAGTGAGTGATTTAAGCTGTATGTGGCAGTCTGAAACAGCTTTATTGCAACATTGTGGTGATACCATCCAAACTGAGGTCTTTTTATAAAGTGTAGCATCGTTTGCCAGACCAATGTTAACATGCATGATTTAAATGATGGCACAAGCAGAACTTCGGCTCACAATGGAGATATTAAAGATACCAAAATATTATCTTTCCTCTCGCCAATGAGAACAGCTGGCAGGATGGGTTTACTGAACAAAAACTTTGGCCAGCAGACAAAGGTTATCATTTTCACAGACTTTCCTTCTGAAGTACAGGAGTAACAAAACATGCTATTTTTTTATTAAAAAATTGGAGGGTTTGTGTCTTTCATCTGGTCAAATTTAGCTTAAAAGTGGAAATAATATCAAAGTTACATGCACCATAGGGAGACTGTTAATGTGGTAACAAAGGGCATTTGGCCAGTTAAAATAATAAAAGACTATACAGCTTTCCCAGTGATGGCTGGAGCCCAGTTAGTACTTTCCAAGTTGAGCCACAATATTCTTTTCCAAATTATGCGGTTTGGCACGATTCAGAGTGAGTAAACTTACTTTCCTACAAGGGAAAAATATAATTAAGAGAGAAAACAAGGTCATGCAGTATTATGCTTCAAGTAAGCAATAATACACCATGGGGTGTATGTTAGTCAATATTCATACACCCTAGACAGGCTGAGACAGAGACAAAGCAATGTCTCAGCATACAAAAAGATACATATATTATCTCGATAAACCCATGTGCAAAAGTAAAATGCAAATGGCTGTTTTATTTCCTTGCTAGATTATTTTAAGGGAATATATGTTCAATGTTCATGTGTGTAACACTCATAAATGTTACTTTAAAAATACCTTTAATGTTAACATTTTGTACTTTTTAGTAATAAGTGAAATTGCTGTTTTCATTTTGTCAGTGTATCTGTTTTATTGGGGATTTTTTCTGCTATTAAAGCCAAAATAGTTTGAAAATTTCTTTTTTTAATCATTAACTGATTAAGTTTTTTAAAAGGACTTTCAACCTGGATGGTTACACTGGAAGCCTCTAAGGGTCTATTCTTACTTTACAGTAATCCACCTTCTAGGATTCTACAAGTGGCACAAAGCCTGCAAAGACTCAACAAAGTCAAGGATAAAGTCTCAGGATTAGAAAAAAAAATAAAAAGCAGCTTCAAATTTGAAAGTGAACTTGCAAGGGGTTTGTGCTAGTGTTATTTAAATGAACAAAGTGTTTAGCTGAAGCTCAGACAGAGAGGGCAACATGCAAAAGGAAAGCTTGGTCACCCAGTGTATGTAATACTGTGGTACCAAAATGGGAACAGCCCCATGAGACATCTGCTCAATTTTTGCTGCTGATGGGAAAGGCCTGTGATATGCCGGGAGGAAGATGAAAAAAGATGAAAAACTTCAAAAAACATGGAACCACTCCCATCACCTGAAGCTTAGACCACACACCTGAAAGGGAGCAACCCACATCCAGCTCGGGTGCACAGCCCGAGCAGCCTTATCTCCCTTTCAACTCAACCATTTTGCACATCTCAAATATAAAGTGCTTGTAAGGGAGGAATTGATTATTTATTTATTGATTGTTTCTTTAATCATTACAATAACCTGACATAATTAAAGAAGCAGGAAATAATTTATTTAAAGAAACTGGAAATAACCTGGTATTATAAACCTTCATGAGTTGCAGCATCTCACCATTACTGCTATTTGGCTACCAGTTTCTTTCTCTTCCCAGCTCCACTGGGGAATACCTGCTCTACTAAGGCCCCAGAGAGTCTCCTAAACCAACCCTGCCTATTGCAGTTCTGTGTGCAAGGAAGCAGGAAATATGTGGGCAGTGAAATTGGGAGCACATTTGTGACTCTATCATTTCAATAGTCACACAGGCTGTGCACAGCAATCATACTGCCTTCTCTGAAAGCACAAGTCACAACTACTTGCATACAACACTCCAGTCATCCACACAAAATGTGCCCTGACACACCTGATTTTAAGGTGTCACTTGAAAGGCAGACAAATCCTCATCAGCTATAGAGTTTCTCTCAGTATTGAACTACTCTGAAGCGGGACCAAGGTGCCAAAGCCCTCGTATTGTATGAGAGCTATATCATACAATATATGGGGGAAAAGACCTATATCATTGCAGACTGTATCATTTTAAGCCACTGCCATCCCATACTGAAGGGGAAGCTGGAGTCAGTGCTGGAGTGAGGCACAGAGCTCTGTCCCATCAGCCTGCATGGCACAGCAGCATCCATGATGATGCATGGCTCCTAATTCTCAGAGAGGACTTTTGTTCCACTTTTTACCTTGAATTTACATGACACTCCTTACAATGTGAAATTGAAAATTATCATAACCTTTGGGTTTACATCCACCTTAACCCTCTTAAAACAGATTTATGTCATCAAAGTTACCCTACTTACTTCCCTTACTCCATACTAAGTAATCTTCTTTCAGGAAATAGCAGATCTATTTTGCCCTGAATCAGAGCTCCAAGAAATCTAATGGCAAGGAAGCCAACACAAATAATAAAGAGAAAACAACTGAGGGGAAAAAAAAAAATCTCTGTTTTACACAGATGTGTTTTCTGGATGCTTCTCTGTATAGGTGCCAAACACTATTAACTTAATGATGAGGCCAGATTCTCAGAGAAGCATAAATTTTCTCAGCTTGGGAAATTATTATTGCTTTTTGTTTCAAAATGGCACTAGAAGGTACTGCACAAGAGGAGAAACTCCTATTTTATACTGAGTGTTTCACATGTAATTAAATGCTGAAGGGATCTACTCTTCTTTGCTACCCCTCCAAGCTATCTTAAACCAGTTAACAAATAGTTTTCTATATAGAATCTGTATTAATAACAAAATTATATTGTGCAAAAGAACATCTTGTCAAACGAGTATGCCATGTTTACCTGCAAAAGCCACTGTACTTGGATGCAGAAATTGTGTTTTGTTTTTCTTGTATGTTCTTGCAATGACCCCTATGGTCCTGTGTATCCTCCAGCAGTATATGAAGCAATGTGACAGGTATCTGTCATGTGTAGTTTAATTCTTTTTTAATTAGCCTAAACTCTTTATGAGATCAAAATCAGTAGGGTAGTGTTACCCTCTGCTACATTTTACATTCTGTGGTGTTTCACTTTGTCAGGCACTTTGCAAATCCCTTTCCTTTATCAATACAAAAAGTCTATCATTGTCTAAAGAAGAAAGATTAATAACAAACCTTTGTCCCAGTTTGACAAATACTTTTAACTAATTATAACTAGCAAAAAGGAAAGGAGTGTATTAAGGGAAAGAACTGTTTTAAAATTAATCTTTTCAAGTTAATATGATCACTTGGTTGCACTCTGCTGCAGTGAAGGCCTGCAAGTTTTTGATGCCTCAAATATTCATAAAAATAAGTGAATTATGGATAAAGAAAATAAACTTTTAGAACAGAAATATCAATTAATTTACTTTTTGAACCCACTATTTGCATATCATAGAATCCTAGAATGGTTTTGGTTGGAAGGAACCTTAAAGATCATCTAGTTTCAAACCCTCTGCCAAGTGCAGAGACACTTTTCCCTGGATCAGTTCATTCAAAGCCTTCTCCAGCCTAGACTTGAACACTTTCAGGGGAGGGGCATCCACAGCTTCTCTTGGCAGCCTGTTCCAGTGCCTCCCCACCCTCACAGTCAAGAAGTTTTTCCTAATACCTAATGTAAACCTACTATCTTTCTGCTTGAAGCCATTTCCCTTTGTCCTTTCACTACATGTCCTTGTGAAATGTTTCTCTCCACGTTTTCTGCAGGCTCCCTCCAGGTACTGGAGGGCCACAATTAGGTTACCCCAAAGCCTTCTCTTCTCCAGGCTGAACAATCCCGATTCTCTCAGCCATTCCTCACTGGGAACATGGTCCAGCGCTCTGATCATCGTGTTGGCCCCCATCTGGACTGGCTCCAGCAGGTTGATATCCTTCCTGTGACCCCAGAGCTGCATCCCAATGCACTCCAGGCACTCCCCTGCTTTGTACAGCAGTGATTATTGCACAACTATCAGCTCCACAGGGGTGCCCCAAACAAAATAAAATGTATTAAACATTACTTATCATGCATCAAAAAGTTAACGTGTTCACTTTACCACTTCAACATCAAAGAAGGTATTATGTAGTCAAGGAGGGCACACTAAGTAAAACTACCTTTTAATAACTTAATAAAGTAATCCTGAGCAGATACAGTTTCCCTTCCCATCAAATTTAAAACTGACAAAAAAGATTTTTCAAGAATTCTCTAAAGCTGCACGCCCTAGCAGACAGCTCGTTTAAATAGATTTTCTCATCCAGCACTCTTATGCAAAATTTTTTAAGAAAAGCTATCACATGACTTTAAAATAATCTTTCTCTCTCTAAAAGATCCTTCAGGAATCTAGTTTATCTTTCTAATGAAGGGTGAAGCTGCTAAGTGTTGGAATTTACTACCCTTCTGCTATCTGTAATTGCACAACTAAAGGTATTTTATAGATTGATGGCTTCCACATAAAAATGAGGAAATATCTATAATTTTCTTAAGGATTCAAAGTTTCTAAATTCATAGCTATTTGAACTTGCAGTCCAAAATCATCAACGTGCTTGTGAAAGTGTCCGTGTTTGTTAAAACTTAGGAGTTATATAGTCTTCATTCCAGAATGCACGGTCTCCTTAAATGGACCCTTTACAACCAGACAGTATCAAAGCTTTTTTTACCCTGTAACTAATTGATATAATAATCCTGATTATTTTAAAATGTGATATTTAAGCAGCTATGAGAATACAAGGCCAAAAAAGAATGTCCTAGTGTATTGTATGCAATGTATCACACTCAAACATTTATGTTCTATCATATTACACTGAAGCATTTGTGAAAAGTTCCTATTCCTTAATACACCATGCCTGGTGTTGTCAGAATGCTGAGTGCCTCTCTTTGGTCTCACAAC